CCCCAAAACCCCAAAACCCCAAAACCCCAAAACCCCTTTAAGAACGAAGGAAATTGAAATATTGGGATAACAATATTTATGTATTGTTATTAAAAATAGTATCTTAATTTTGATTCACCACTCACAGAACAATCAGGAAGTAAATAGGGAATGCTATAGCTTCTATCAGCACAATGATAATAAAAAATGGGAGATAAATTATTGGAAAGGTCATCGAAAGTATCCCTCAGACTATCCATAACCATCCCCATTTATTTTGTCCATTTTCAAAGCTTTTTCTTGCATTGTCAAATAGTATAATAAATAGGAAAAACGGAAGTAGTGATAGATAAACAACTTGCCACATGCATCGTAATTCAGGAGGACATTGGCTTTCTTGTGCAGAACCTCTTGCTGGAGAATACTTCAAGTATTTGGTTAGGAAGTTCAGGTTGAAAGTCCTGCCTCAAGTTGCACAATGCATATGAGGTCAACCTTCTATCCTTTCGATGATAGATTTTCAATGTGGACAATAAGTGACATTGTTGTTTCTTTGAAATTCAACTAATCCTCTAAATATTATGAGAGGGATTTAACATAAGCTTACTTGTCTCTGACATCTTCTCATGCTTGCTCTTCATGCCATGGCTCTGCTCATCCTGTTCAGAAGATGTGGCCTCACTCTCATTGAGCTTTGTTCTTTTTACCTCTGATTTTTCACTCGCTTCTGATATATCTCCAGCATCCAGGCTTTGGTCAATAATATAAATGAGGATCGTTCATAACCCTTTTCTTTTCAACAAGGTATTCTCTCTGTCTCTGCTCCTTCGAGGCTACCAGGTCTGTGACCGAATTAGGATCCACCACCTTTATTCAGCTCGGACAAGTCAAATCAGCTTTGCCAGACCTCACTTGAAAGGTGAAATGAGTCTTGATGCACTCTTTACAGAATTTGTGGGAGCATGCCAAGGTTCTTTCCAGAGTTATGTCAGATAGTCAAATGTGTCAGATGTCAGAAGAAGGGTTCTAAATAGTTTGTTATTAGGATAAAGAAGGGTTGAATTAAACTGAAACTGAATGGGTTCTATTATATTAAAAGTCTTACATTAGTAGGCAAGATTAAGTCTTCTTTCTTGTTCTCCTCCTCCTTCTCAGAAATACCTTCGGTTTTCGGAGGAGTTAGAGATGTTTTAAAAGGATTTTTATAAAAGTGTGGTTTCTTTTGTGGTAATTTTCTGATTCTTATATCGATTGGCTTCTAAAAAAGCTATGTTAGTGACGAATTGTAAAGCCTCTAAAGTATTGAAACATCTAGGCTCTGAAGTTATATCGAAGCCTTTATCTGTCAATTAACTCACCATTTAATATTAATATAATCTTAGTTTCAGCAAACCTTATAAAGACGGGGTTTTGGGGTTTTGGGGTTTTGGGGTTTTGGGG